TGGTGCACATTGATCGTTTTGCTTGCTGCGCTGGCAGGTGGACAGCATGTTGGGGCAGCGCAAGGGGGCGGGGGAGCACGAGGCGATGAGGAAGATAAAGAACGAGTTCATGACGCACTGGGACGGGCTCGCCTCCAAGGCGGGCAGCCGCGTGCTCGTGCTCGCCGCCACCAACCGCCCCTTCGACCTCGATGAGGCCATCATCCGCCGCTTCCAGCGCCGGTCAGACCACACCCATGCTCGCCCATCCTCTTTAATTTCATGCACTTCATTCACTCTCGGTCTATCATTGCATCCTGTTTTCTGCATTATGTGTGAACCGCATCTCTTATTGGTCCCATTCTCGTCCTCGTTATTGTGTGCTGCAGCATCATGGTGGGGCTGCCGGACGCGGGCAACAGGGAGCTCATTCTGCGCTCCATCCTGCAGCACGAGCACGTGGACGCTGACATGGACTACCATGAGCTAGCGCAGCTCACTGAAGGCTTCTCAGGGAGCGACCTCAAGGTGAGTCTCTGTGTGTGCAGATTTAGTTATTCTCCTCGGTGCTAATGCAAGAGTGTTATCCTGTATGGTGTTTCGCAGACTCTCTGCACCGCAGCAGCTTATGGTGTACTGAGGGAGGCTCTTGCAGCAGCAGTAAGTGTAACTCTTCAGCTTTGCATTTGTCCCCTTTCTGCACTGCCTGAGCACTCATGCATTTCCCTGCCCTCTCTTTTCAGGATGGCAGTGCTAACGAGGAAGCATTGAAGCTGAGGCCACTGACGTTGGAGGACTTTCGTGAAGGCAAGAACCAGGCAAGTTGTGCCACGGTATCCTGACTTGCACCCGTGATATACGGTACATGCATGGTTATTAACCATGCTGCTTTGTGTGTATGCTGCAGGTCTCTGCCAGTGTGGCTGGTGAGGCGCAAAGCATGCAAGAGCTCAAGGATTGGAACAACCTTTATGGGGAGGGTGGGAACCGCAAGAAAGCTGTACTTTCCTATTTTCTGTGATTGTATGACAATTTTTACAACAGTTACAGCTGTTATCTGTGATTGTATGAGCAAAAGAATCTGACCGTGTAAAGGTACCCAATCTCAACTCTGAATGATTTTGCAAATTTTGTAACTAGCCAATGTTTACCAACTTGGATAATATGTTAAGATAGCAGCAAGTGAGTCGATGAATTAATGAGAGTGTTGAGAAGTACTGTACAACATGAAAACCCTAGCATAACTAGCAACATAAAAATATATGTTCTGACGCACCCCCATAGACAAAGTGGAAGACAAGCGGTCACATGACCAGTCAAGAAAAAAAAGAAGTATGGTAAAGCTCGGGGTGGATGACGTAGACCACTACAATGCAGAGTTATGTGAGAAACTAGGAATGGGAGGAATGTCGAGACTAGTGAGGAGGGGGGTACAAGTACTAAACCTAATTAGGGTTGTACCCCCTATGGTGTACCCCAGGATAGCTTAGCAAGTACAAATGTGATTTTGACATACCCCCATAGGCTAAGCGGGGAACAACCAGATGGTTGCAAGACCAGTCAAGCAAGAGAACAAAGAAAAGCGAAGCCCATGGTGGATCTCAAGGATACCACACACTCCAGGCACAAGCAAGCAGCCACAACGCTAGTTCGCATGTAGAGTTATAATAGCAAGGCAGTACACTGATCACAGCCTAGCAAGTGTAAACATGCAGTTATAAATATATAAAGCTGTGTACAACAAGGACAAGTCAAGCAACCAGCAGGTGAGGGAGAGTGGGCAGAAGCCCTAGAGCAGTGCAACACCGCTGATGATCACCAAACCCGAAGGCCTTGGTGAAGACATCAGCAGTGTTGGCTCGAGAGGCCATGAAGGAAAGGCGAAGCTGACCACGCTACTGCAGCTCACGTGCAAAGGAGTAGCGAAGAGGAATGTGCTTCGTTCTGTGCTCCAGTCTCTGCTCGCGACACAAGGCAAGCATGGCCTTGTTGTCGACGTCGTACAGAACTGGAGGAAAACGAGGCTGCTCCCCCAAGTCGGCCAGCGGGTAGGTCAGCCATCGTAGCTCCTGTGCAGCCATAGCCCCAGCGTAGATCTCGGCCTCACAACTGGAACCGAGCACAGAAGAAGAACGAGTGGACCTCCACGAGACAAAACCAGAGCCAAGACTGAAGGTGTAACCCCGTGACGAACACTGAGTCGCCTGGTCGTCGGCCCAAGAAGCGTCAGAGTGCCCTGTGAGTACCACTGAAACCCGTCCTCCAAGCATAAGCCCCATGCCTGATGTGCTGCACAAGTAACGCTGTACCCTCTTCGCAGCATCCCAGTGCACCTTTCGATGTCTACTGGGAGCCACGTAGCGAGCCAGAAGACAAAGAGGGTACGCGAGGTCAGATCGTGTGCACGTCATCAGGTACATGAGACAACCCACAAGCTCTGGATACGGACCACTCGGCTCTACGGACTCGTCCGAAGGTGGATCTGAGAGCGAGTGAGCGGTAGGCAGAGGAGTGGACTATGGCGAGGAGTATCGAAGCCGAAGCGCTGGAGGACCTGGTGCACCATGTGTGACTGAGTCAGGGTGATGGTGCGCCGTGCTCTGTCTCGAGTGATCTGCAAGCCAAGATAGCTCCACAGCTCACCCAGGTCAGTGCAATTGTGTCTCTGCTGCAGCTCCGCCTTCATTAGGGCCAGTGCCTCAGTGTCAGCAGTAGCAAAGACCAAGTCGTCGACGTATACGAGAACGTAGAACGACGGCAGGGTAGTGTCGGTGCATAGAAACAACGACGGGTCAGCAGAGGAAGGAGAAAACCCAAGAGCCGCAAGTGTCGTCCTCAGTGTGTCGTGCGACTTGCGGGACACCTGGCGAAGACCGTAGACTGGGCGCCAGAGACTCCACTGGGTACTCGCAGAAAACGACCCAGTGAAGCCAGGTGGGCGGCGCAACTAGATCTCCTCGTGAAGGCTGCCCTGCAAGAAAGCTGTGGAGAAGTCGAGGGAGTGCAGCTCGTTGTCACGCTGTGCTGCAACGTGCAGCAACACCCGAAAAGTAGTCATCTTTGGGGTGGGTGAGAATGCCTGGAAGTAGTCGACCCCCTGTCGCTGACTGAAGCCTCGAGCAACATAATGCGCCTTGAAGACAGGTGAAGAACCCGGCGGCCGATTCACTCTAAACCCTGTGGAATTCTAGGAAGCCATCTCTGCATCCATGGCTGTCTGCCACTAAGAGGAGTACTGACCCGCGATCGCCTCAGCGTAAGTGCTTGGGGTAGGGATGTCAAGTGCAGTTGGTGTTAAGATGAGAGGAGCCATGGATGGCGAGAGAGTTAGGTAGGGTCGAAAAAGTTACACTAGGAAGAAAAAATGTCGAGATACAAAAGAGAGAGGGTTGGAAACCCTAATTGAACCTAGGGTGTGTTCGGTTTGTACTAAGAACTATGAAATGAACCTAAAATGAACCTGAATGCGTAACTCTCTCTAAGCATGGAGAAATAATATAAGAACACCAAAATAAAGACCAGAGCGAGCTCTAGCCTACTCCAACACACCCCCAGGCTAGGTGAAGCTCTCGAGCAAAACACCTAGCGAACCGGCACACCCCCAGAAGTGGAGAGACGCGTGAGCCCAAGCTCGCGCACGTAGAAACGATGTGGCGCACGCAGGAGAGCCTTGGTGAAAATGTCAGCAAGGTTGGCAGCAACGTCCACCTTGCGAAGACGTAAGAAGCCAGACTGCACCAGCTCGCGCACGAAAAAATAGCGGACCTCAATATGCTTGCTGCGGGCGTGATAGACAGGATTTTCAGTGAGATGAATCATGCTCGCACTGTCACAGGAGAGCGTCACAGAGGACTGAGAGTGACCAAGCTCAGCAAGGAGAAATGAGAGCCAGCGAGCCTCCTGAGCTGCCAAGGTGCCTGCGTACAACTCAGCCTCGCAGGTGGAAAGGCAGACAAAGGATGAGCGAGTAGAGCGCCAGCTTATGAGACCACTGCCAAGAGTGAAACCATAGCCCTGAGATGAGCGGCGATCAGGGCGGGAGTCAGCATAGGAAGAGTCACTGTAGCCGGAGAGAACGGGAGGAACAGAGCCACCAAGAGTGAGATGGAGCAGAGGAAAGGGGCGTAGAGGCAGAGCGAGGAGAAGGGGCAGCGAGGTGCTCAGTGAGGCGCTTGCGGGTGCTCTCGAGGGACTCAGCAAGAATACGAGCTAAGTCACGGGCAGCAGCATTGTCAGGAGCAGTCGTGGCAGTGGCTTGCGCCGTGGCCACAGGCCGCTCAGTTTCAGCAATGGCAGCACGGAGGCCATCAGCATAGGGGTCAGAGGAGGAAGAGGTGGGTGCAGAGGGAGAGGTAGGAATGGCGCCAGAACCACTCTGCTGAGTGACAAACCAAAGGTTAAAGCCACTCACTAGGGTGCCAGACAGCGTGCGCTCAAGACAGTTCAGCCAACTGGGGAAGTTGACTGCACTGCCATCGGGCGCAAGCTGAAGGACCAGCAGAGGGAGGGAGGGGAGGGCGAGAGAGGTCGCCATGAGGAGGAGGAAACAGCTGCAGAGCAGATGTGGGGAGAGGAATAAGAGGCGGAGGAATAAGGGCGGGGTAGTCTGCTGCTGAGCCGCTGAGGGGAGAAACAAGAGGAGGAGGGAAAGTGGCGGAGTAGTCTGCTGCTGAGCCGATGCGGGGAGAAACCAGAGGAGGAGGGAAAATGGCGAAGTAGTCTGCTGCTGAGCCGATGAGGGGAGAAACCAGAGGAGGAGGGAAAATGGCGGAGTAGTCTGCTGCTGCGCCGATGAGGGGAGAAACCAGAGGAGGAGGGAAAATGGTGGAGTAGTCTGATGCTGCGCCGATGAGGGGAGAAACGAGAGGAGGAGGGATAGCGGCGGAGAAGTCTGCTGCTGTGCCGCTGAAGGGAGAAACAAGAGGAGGAGGGAGAGTTGTGAAGAGTTTGCAGTTGAGCAGTTGAGAGGAGGATGTTGAGGAGGAGGGAAGGTGTGGAGGAACAACAGCTACACAACACAATCAGCTCCCAGCTGCAGCAGATGAAGAGAGGAAAGAGGTGGAGGAGGGGTGAGATAGTGGAGAGGGAACTAGTGGGAGAGAGGAGAGGAGGAGGAGGGTGAAGGGGCGGATTGTGGGAAGGGCAGGGCGCGCCACAAGGAGCTGCGAGCCGCAGCAGATGGAGAGAAAATAGGAGGAGGAAGAGGTGAGGTAGTGGGGGGAAGCACAAAGGAGAGAGGGAAGGAGGAGGAGGGTGAGGGAAGGGGCGGATTGAGGAAGGGCGGGGCGCGCCACAAGGAAGGGCAGGCGCGCGCGCTGCTGGACGGTGCTTAGCGCGCGCGGCTGTGGGAGCGCAATGCGCGCGCGACGGGACGGGGGAAGGGGGGGGACGGCAGGGCGCGCTTTGGGCGGAAATGGGCGCGCGACCGTCAGAAACGGGAGGAGAGGGAGGCGCGACGAATGGGAAGGCGCGGGAGAGTGATAAGGGCGGTATGGCGACGTGCTACGGACTGGATTGAGGGATCCGCGAGAGTTTAATGTGACAAAAAATGCGATTTTTAAGAGTGACGGGAAAGAAAGGAGATAATAAAAAAACCGTCTAGCTAAGTAGCGCGGAAATGGCCTAAGGGCCGGAGATTATCTAAGAAATACGGATAAGTATGAAACGCCTAGAACCTCGCTCTGATACCATGTTAAGATGAGAGGAGCCATGGATGGCGAGAGAGTTAGGTAGGGTCGAAAAAGTTACACTAGGAAGAAAAAATATCGAGATACAAAAGAGAGAGGGTTGGAAACCCTAATTGAACCTAGGGTGTGTTCGGTTTGTACTAAGAACTATGAAATGAACCTAAAATGAACCTGAATGCGTAACTCTCTCTAAGCATGGAGAAATAATATAAGAACACCAAAATAAAGACCAGAGCGAGCTCTAGCCTACTCCAACAGTTGAGTGTCCCTCAGGGCAAAGCAGCATGGATGCAAAACGAGGTAAAACGTCCGCAAGTCACTCAAGCTCAAACTGTCTGTCCTCAAGGACGTCACTGCCAAGGGCAGGCTCACCCTCAATGGACGGAGGTCAGACAGACTCAGACTTAGTAACAAGGCTCGCGAAGTAGTCGAGACGACTCTGAGCAGCAAAGTGGACAAACTCAATGACTGGGGCAAACGCAGCAGTAGACTCAAAGGCAGCGTTAGTGACGACAGTAGCAAGGAGACGAGTGGCAGTAGGAATAGCAGCACGAGCAAGGTCTGACGCAGGGTCAGGAAAGTGAGGGAGAGAGGACGCCGGAGGAGACGGCAGGGGAACACGCTGTGGAACAGAGGAATGACGAAGTGCCATAACGTGTGTGACTGAGACAGGAGGAGGACGAGGACGAGCGGCACGACGAGCACGGACAGGTGTGAAAGCACGAGTCTCAGGCTCACGACGCTCAGTTAGGGACTCAGTCACCTCAATGGGAGGGGCAGGAGCAGGCAGTGGGGAGCCAGGCAGTAGCTGCGGCAGAGACTGGTCAGTCGGTGGACACAGGAGAGGTGGAGTGAGGCCAGTGGAAGACGGGAGACTAAGAACCTGGCGAAGGGCCGAGTCAGGTGGTGGCAGGGACGACTGTGACTGCGGGTAGAATAACGGTCAGCTAGGCGCAGAACCCGTACCGTAAACAGCTCCAGCAGCTCCAGTGCCGCCAGCTCGAGCACCTCTAGCACCAGCACCTTCAACACTAGCAGCTCCAGCAGCTCCAGCACCTGCAGCACCTCCAGCAGTACCTCCAGCACCAGCAGCACCTCCAGCACTAGCAGCTCCAGCACCTCCAGCACCTGCAGCACCTCCAGCACTAGCATCTCCAGTACCTCCAGCAGTACCCCCAACACCTCCAGCACCAGCAGCACCTCCAGCACTAGCAGCACCTCCAGGACTAGCAGCTCTAGCACCTTCAGCACCAGCAGCACCTCCAGTACCTCCAGCAGTACCTCCAGGACTAGCAGATCCAGCATCTCCAGCACCAGCAGTACCTCCAGGCTTAGTAGCTCCAGCACCAGCAGCACGTCCTGGAGTACCTCCAACACCAGCAGGACCGAGCCCTCCACCACCAGGAGTGCTACGGCGAACGATCCACTCACAAATCTGTTGCAGCGAGAGTGACCCGAGTAGACTAGGTTGCTGTGGCGGTCCAGCTCCAGGACCTCCAGCAGGGTCACCCACAGCTCCACCGCCACTAGGACTAGCAGCACCCCCAGAGTCAGAACCCCCAGACGAAGCACCCCAAGAACCCTCACCCTCGGTCTCAGCACCCCCAAAATCCTCACCCCCAAAGTCACCGCCAGCAGCAGCTCCAGAGTCCACAGCAGCAAGCTGCGGATGCGGCAAAGAATGCCGAGGTGGAAAGCCCGGAGGGGTCTCCAAGCGTGGAGAGCAGCGAGGGGCCGCCGTGCCGTCCGCGGCGGGGTCACCCCCTCAGCTAGGCCAGAGGAGTCAGAAGAGATCCCCACAGGCTCATCCAAGGGGGGTGGGTCTACCTGAGACACACCCGAGGGAGCAAGACCCTGGGGGGGAGTGGGACTATCGAGGGGGGGGGGACTGGTACCAGGAAGAGAGGCGCGAGGGGGACCGGGTGGGACGCGTGCGGGTGTAGCCTTTAGTAACAGACAGGCTCGTCAAAGGTGCCATCATGGGAGGAGAAAACTCGACGTGAGCGCGGGTGGCAGAACTGCCACAACGGGGCGTCGGTGGGGAAGCCAAGGAAGACGCAGTGGAGAGTGCGAGGGGAGAGCTTGCTCGCGGTGGTATCACGAGCAAGGGAGAGCGCGGCCCAGACCCGCCGACGCATCGCCAACCTCTCCCGACCAACGCAGTGTGGGCGAGGTCATTGGCAAAGAGACACAGGGCTAGAGGTTGAGCTGATGCGCACCGTATCGGACCGCAAACGTCCACAGAAAATGGGGAGCAGCTGCATGGATCATGGAGGTACGAGCAAGCTCCATGATCAAGCCAATGCGACGCTCCCCAATCCCATTCTGCTGAGGAGAGGTCGGAAGTGTGAACGACTGGCGGATGCCCTTGGCCCGACAGAAGTCCGCAAGGAGGTCGGAAGAGAACTCACCGCCCCTGTTAGAGTGCAAACGCAGGACTGGAAGGTCCCGCCGAAACCGCTCGCGCAACTGGCGATGAGTAGCACGGATCCAAGGGATCAAAACACCGCTGACGTCTGCCCTACGCTGCAAGGGGAAGACAGTGGTGTAGCGTGTGTAGCCGTCAACAACCGGCAGGAAGTAGCGCTCTTAGTCCGTTCCACTGACGGGGGTCGGGCCCCAAACGTCCATGTGGAGAGTCTGCAGAGGAGCGGTGGTCGGAGGAAACTCGGAGGAGTGAGGAGCGGCGCGCTGCCGCCCCTCGACGCAGGGAAGGCACGGTGGGGCAGGAGAGCGCTCGAGGGAGGGCAGTGACCTGGGAAGGCCAAAGACAAGGAGACGGGAGTGCATGCTGCGGAGACGCGACAGTGAGGGGTGACCGAGGCGGTGGTGCCAGAGGAGAGTCTGGTGGGAGAGTACCTGACACGAGCAAGACGCTGCAAGCTGGCCAACCTGACTCGACGCAGCCACCTGACCTGACTCAGCCACCTATGCAGACGTAGTGGTCAGTGTGTACAGACCCAGGCCTCGAGTGAACGTAGCAAGGTGACGGCCAATCCGGAGCAGGTACAGATCGCCACACGCTGCCCTCCAGGAGTAAAGGTGTAAATCCATACATCCTGAAGAGCGGCGTTGCTCACCAAGTTCGTCGAGAACGTGGGGAGGTGGAGACCTGACAGAGAACCGGAGGGGACTGCTGGACACGGAAGGACAGTGGAGGCTCGTGCGACTACTGCCCCCCCAGTGGGGTCAGCCAGTAAGATTGGTACCGGTGCAGCTAGTGGTGTGAGTGTGGTGCAGTCACGAAAGAAACAACGAGACGTGCCTGAGTCAAGTGTGAAAGTGTGAAGGGCCTCAGCGAAGGCAGCAGACTCACTAGCAGCAGACTCACTAGCACCTGTGACAGCAAACTCACTAGCACCTAGAGCAGCAGCAGCGAGACCTGCATCACCACGTACACACAAGTAACACGCACCCTCATCACTAAGCTCAGTCACATACATAGCATAAATAGCCTTGTTGATCTGAACAAAGTCAAGAGCATATATATCTACGCCCATCCCCTGCAGTTTCAGCCAGTTTGGGACATCTGCCTCATCCCCGTACTCATCCACCCAGGCATCCTCTGTGAGAATAGTATGAAGGTATGATGGAGATTAGGGCAAGGAGGGGGATACAAAGAAGTGTCGAGCAAAATTCTGTACCCCCTAAGGCTAAACCCACTACAGCCTAGATAACATTAAACATATAATTTGACACACCCCCATAGGCGAAGTGGGGGATAGCCAACACAAGAAACGGTCATAAGACCAGTCAAGAGAAGAAACAAAGCAAAACAAGCTCAGGGTGGATCACAACGTCACCACGCATTCTGAGCACAAGCACAAGGCCACAAGGCCAGTTCACATGCAGAGTTATATATCAAGGTGAACAAGCAAGGCAGTGATCGCAACCTAGCAAGGGTAAGCATGCAGGTGCAGATATATATAGATCACAGTACAAGCAAAGTCAAGAAGTGAGCAAGTGAGGCCAAGTAGGCACAAGACCTAACATAGTACAAAAGCGCTGATGATCACAAGGCTGAAGTGCCTTGGTAAAGATATCAGCAGTGTTGGCCCGAGTGGCCACGTAAGCAAGACGAAGCTGACCACGCTGCTGCAACTCTCGAGCAAGGAAGTAGCGCAGAGCAATGTGCTTCATTCTGTGCTCCAGTCTGTGCTCCTGACACAAGGCAAGCATGGCCTTGTTGTCAACGTACAGAACTGGAGGAGAACGAGGCTTCTCTCCCAAGTCGGTTAGTAGGTAGGTGAGCCGGCGTAACTCCTGTGCAGCCATGGCCCCTGCGTAGATCTCAGCCTCACAACTGGAGCTGAGAACAGAAGACGAGCGGGTAGACCGCCACGAAACAGAGCCGGAACCAAGGCTGAAGGTGTAACCCTGTGACGACCGCTGCGTAGCCAAGTCGTCAACCCAAGAAGCGTCTGCGTGACCAGTGAGGACAACTCGAGCCCGTCCTCCAAGCACGAGCCCCATGCCCGACGTACTGCACAGGTAGCGCAACACCCTCTTAGCTGCATCCATGTGCTCTGGTCCGTGTCTCCCAGGAGCAACATAACGTGCCAAGATACTAAGAGGGTATGCCAGGTCAGGTCGAGTGCAGGTCATCAGGTACATGAGGCAGCCAACAAGCTCTGGGTACGGGCCAGTCGGCTCTACGGACTCATCCGAAGGCAGAGCTGAGAGCGAGTGACGAGTAGGCAGAGGAGTGGCGTGAGGCGAAAAGTACGTGAAGTTGAAGCGCTGAAGTACCTGCTGCACCATGTGTGACTGAGTCAAGGTAATGGTGCGCCGTGCTATGTCCCGGGTGATCTGCAAGCCAAGATAGCTGCGCAATTCACCCAGGTCTGTGCACGTGTGTCTCTTCTGCAGCTCCGACTTCACGTGGGTGAGTCCAGCAGTGTCAGCAGTAGCAAAGACCAAGTCCTCGACGTACACGAGGATGTAGAACGGCGGCAGAGAGGTGTCGGTACGTAGAAACAACGACGGGTCAGCAGTAGAAGGAGC